GTTTGGAGGAGCTGGAGAGATGATGTAGCGGTTAAAAGCACTCAGGTTCAGTTCCCAGAACATGGTGGTCCCCCAGCATCTCTGGGCTGCTGTGGGCACCCATACGCATAGGTTGGCCCCTAGTTCATGTTCTCTTAGGTCCATCTCCTACTCCAGTATTCCATGCCTGTAACAGCACGTTCGGGCTGTCAACTTTCTTGTGATCTTTATGAAACGATCACTAATCTGGATGTGGAGGAGCACTAGGCTTGGCCACCATAGGTTTGTCAGTCAGCATATGCATGGAAACGTTACCTTTCGGAGCCTGATTCCACAAGAAAGTTTGCTTTGTACAGATCATATGATGGCTGCATGGAGCCTAGGTAGAACCCACTTAACATGGAAAGTAGAACCCAGGCCTTGTTTTCTTTTTTTCTTTTTTTTTTTTTTTTTTTTGCTGAGGCAGTTTCAGGGTGAAGAAAATAGTATAAAGATGTTGGGTCATGGCAAGCATTAACAATTTTGGCTCTGGGGAATACTCTACTAAGAAATGGAGAGGAATGCTGCTGGTCAAATTTCGTACAATTATAATGAGCACATACACTTTTAAAGTTAGTTGGTTGGTTGGTTGTTTTCTGAGACAGTGTTTTTCAGTGTAGTCCTGGCTGTCCTGGAACTCACTCTGTAGACCAGGCTGGCCTCAAACTTGGAGATCTACCTGCCTCTGCCTCCCGAGTGCTGTGATTAAAAGTGTGAACCACCATCACATGGATAAATTAATTTTTTAAAAAATTAGATCTCATGCAGCCTAGGAGGACTTGAACTCACTGTGTGGCTGAGGCTGGCCTTCAGTTCTTAATCCTCCTGCCTCCACCAGCTCCTCAGCACCACACTCAGCTGCCGTCATACTTCAAAGGACAGTAGACTTAGCTTGAAAGGCATCTGGGGAAGAAGGTGCCAAGTCTATGACCTGGAAACAACTCTGCTCTTCTAGATAATGGAGCCAGAATTCGTGTGAGAACAGCAAGGGAAGCCTGAAGTTAGTATTTCTATTTCTACAGAGAGGAGCATTTTGTGTGGCGTTTTCTCACTATGTCTCATGTGTTGGAAGGTTGACTCCAGTGTGGCAATGCTGGTGGTATTTTGGGGTGTGACTTTGGCAGATGGTTGGGTCAGGAGGGTAGGTAGATTCGTGGCTTTGTAAGAAGACCAAGATCTCCCTGGCACCCCCGTTCTGTGCCGTGATGTTAAGGTTTCTATTGCTTTGGGACTCCTTGCCTGTAGTAATCGGAGTGGCAGGGCTGCGTCCCCAGCACCCTGGCCGCCTGGCTAGCTTATGCCCCGAAATAACAACACACAAATTGTATTCATTTAAACACTGCTTGGCCCATTTCTATTTAGCCTCTTCTAGGCTAATTCTCACATATTAATTTAGCCCATTTCTAATCATCTTCATAGCACCTCTAGGTGCGCTTACCAGGAAGATTCTAGCCTATGTCCATCGTGGGTCGGAGCTTCATCACATGTGTGTCAGAGAGCAGAGCTCTCACGTCCGCCCAGGAGAGCGGAGCATGGCGTCTCTGCTCCAGAGAGCAGAGCTGTCAAGTCTGAGCTCACTTCTTCCTCCCAGCATTCTGTTCTGTTTACTCCTCCCACCTATGTTTTTTTTTTTAAAGGTTTATTTATTTATTTTGTACAAAGTGTTCAGCCTCCATGCCTGCAGGCCAGAAGAGGGCACCAGATCTCATTACAGATGGTTGTGAGCCACCATGTGGTTGCTGGGAATTGAACTCAGGACCTCCGGAAGAGCAGTCTGTGCACTTAACCTCTGAGCCATCTCTCCAGCCCCCTCCCACCTATGTTTTAACCTATGAGGGCCAAGCAGTTTCTTTATTGCTTAACCAATGAAATCAACAGATTGATATATGACACTCCCACATCACTTGCCCCAGAGAGTTGCTTTACCCTGGTACCATGTAGACTCCCTGATCATGAGAAATGCATTTTCTGCTAGGCATGGTAGTTCAAGTCTGTAATCTCAGAACTTCCAAGGTGGAGGCCAGAGGACTAAAGTTCAAGGTTATTCTCACCACAAAGTAATCTAAGGCCTGCCCAAACTGCAAAGACCCTGCCTTAACACCCACGTCCTCAAAATGATTTCCTTATCCACCAATGACTCCATCTCCTGTACTCACAGCATCAGCAAATGGCCTAGCATGGACTTGAGGGGGTTTTGTGGCAGCATAACTACACCTAGTGATCATAAAAGGTTCTGAGTTGTTAGGTATCTGGTAGCTCTCCAAAATTCTTGCACACACTCCCAGAATAGTTTTGATGTGTCATCCAGACTGACCTTGAATTTGTGATCCTCCTGCTGCAGCTTCTAGAGTACTGGGACTACAGGCATGCTATGCTCAGCTCAAACTACTCTGCTTTCAATGCTGCATGGTGGTTTTTGTTAACATGACACAAGTCAGAGTCATCTGTGAGAAGCTGGAACTGCAACCGAGAAAACGCCTCCATAGGACTGGTCGACTGGCAAGTCTGTGGGGATTTTCTTGATGAATGATTGATGTGGGAGGCCCCAGCCCACTGCCTGTTGCCTTGAGTCATGTAAAACAAACTGAGTGAGCCCAAGAGAACAAGGCAGTGGCAGCATATTCCTCTCCTGCATCTGTTTTGTTCATGTGTCCGGGTTTCTCTTCCACCCCTGCTTGATTCCCCCATGGTGGACTACGATTGAGACTTATAAATCAGACAAACCCTTTCCTCTCCAAGTTGCTTCTGGGCATGGCACTTATCATGGTAAGAGAAAACAAGTTAGGACAGATGCCCATTGGAGAGAAAACTCACCTGGAATTTTTGTTCTCAGTTTCTGTATCTCTAGAGTTTCTATCCCCCAACAGAGTTACTGTCCAGTACAAACATGAGCAATGCTACGTCTGCGTTTGTTAGAGCATTTTCAAGAGCTGTGGTCAGGCCAGTGAGAGTGGGCCATGCTTGTTATCCCAATACCTGGGAGGCGGAGGAAGGAGGATCAGGAGTCAAAGGTCATCCTCAGCTACATAGCAGGTTTGAATTCAGCCTGAGCTCCATGGGATTCTGTTTCAGAAACATTGACAATGATGACAGAGGAGCCATCTGTGATCGCATCACCCCTTTCCAGGACCAGAAACGGGGGTTTGGAAGATGGCTCACCAATGGTTTAATGGCACCCATTGCCAAGCCTGATGACCTGAGTTTGATTTCTAGGACCCACGTGGTGGAAGGAGAAGACCAACTCTTACACGCTGTCCTCTGACTTCCATATGTGTGCTGTGCGTGCACACTAAATAAAGAAAAATAAACAAACCAAAACAAAACAGAAAAGGGTATACTGCCACCAGATGGTAATAGTACTCCTGCTGGCCAAACAGCCTCAAAAGGAAGATTGTTTAAGAAGGACTGGAGTTAGAGCCTCCATATACACACATACATGAACACGTATATACATAAGCATGCATACACTTGTGAGCATGTATGCACATGTGAACAATGCATGAACTGTACATGCATAAATGAAATATGCACACACATATAAGACATGACACAAACACAAACATGTATCCACACATACATATACAAATGAAAAATATGCTAGGAAACTTTTTTGTTTTGTTATGTTTTTTTGAGACAGTGTTTCTCTTACACAGAGAAACAGCTCTGGCTGTACTGGAACTCACTTTGTAGACCAGGATGTCCTCAAACTCACAGAGATCCACCTGCTTCTGCATCCCAAGTGCTGGGATTAAAGGCCTGAGCCACCATCACCCAGGTTCCTTTTTATTTTTGAGACTGAATCTCATTCTGTAACTCAGTATCTCACAGCAATTCTCCTGTCTCGAGTTGGAGTTACACATGAGCCACCTTACCTAGCTTGAAGTAACCTTTTTTTTTAATGTACAAGGTCTTACTTTATAACCCTGGTTGGCCTAGAACTTGGGACGCAGAGCAGACTGGCCTTGAACTCATGGTTTCTACTTCCCAAGTGCTAGAATTATAGATACGAGTTACCATGCCCATCTGAATGACTCTTTTTTTTCCCCTCGAGACAAGGTTTCTTTGTAGCTTTGAAGCCTACCCTGGAACTAGCTCTTGTAGACCAGGCTAGCCTTGAACTCACAGAGATCCACCTGCCTCTGCTCCCGAGTGCTGGGATTAAAGGCGTGCGCCACTACCGCTCGGCTTTTTGAGTGACTCTTCTTTAATGTGTCTCTGAACAGTGACATGACATGTAACTGGAAGACTGTGATTGGTGCTCATGAGGAATCATGGAAAGTAAAAGGATGATGTATAAATCTGTTCACATAAGATTATGTGGTAAAACAATCAAGGAACAAATAACCATAGAGAAAAAAATTTTAATGGTTGAGTTAAAAATTTACACAACCTTGTTGAACATAATATATGCAACATTAAATTATAAGTAATACATGTAATTGTTTTTTCTAGATAGAAATACCTCACTTTGAGAAAACCTGATATACCATAGTCTGACTGGTCATTTAACCTTTTGGAAATTTTGATACAGACTTTTTCACATGGCACGTTCCCTAAACACATTTAAAATAGTTTGATCTCTTACGTTAACTTTAGAGGGAACATCTATTGGTGGAAATGAGGTATATATGTGCTGTCTTTTCGTGAGTATCTGCTTCAACTTACAATAAAGGCTATTCTATACATCAAAATACAATTTCACCTTAGGATAAAAGCACTGAATTTATGAGGTGCACAGTAGAAGTACAGAGTGCAGGTCAGCGTGAACACACAGCACAGCACACCATAAATAGTTTCCACTTCCTTCACAGATTTCCTCTTTTAACTGTGTATAACCCACAACATTTTCAAGGGAGCTGGAGACACAGTTCAATGGTAAAGCCCTTGCCTCATATGCTCAGTGGTTCCCAACACTGCATAGAAAACAAATCAAAAATCAATAAAACTACCCCAAATCTTTGGTGGAAGCACCTGCATGTCACAGCAGAAGCACACACCTAAGGGTATGTGTATATGTGCAAAGATGGGCACACCGCCGTGGCGGTGCGGTCTTTCCTTGTGGCAGGGTATTTAGTCCTAGGCCAGTTTGGCTTGACATCTGGAGCTGGCCCTAGGCTGGAGTTTGTGCTTCTCTTTGGAGAGCATGACGTAAAGCCTGGCTTCTTACTCTGCACAAAGGAGATAAAAGAGTTGAATTCACTTTCTGTCGCAATTTCTAAGTTATAGTTGGGGTTGAGGTTAACCTTGCTAGACAGGAGTTAGAAAGAAACACCTGCATTTCCTCCCAATATCAAAATGGCCAACAGTGTGACAGGGCAGAGTTGAGCCAAGCACTTGGTCAGGCTTCTCAGACAAGTAGAGTTCTATGGGCAACATTTTAGTGGATCCAGGGAATAGAAAGACTGTTTTTCTTTTTCTTTCTTTCTTTCTTTCTTTCTTTCCTTCCTTCCTTCCTTCCTTCCTTTTTCTTTTTGTTTTTTTGAGACAAGATTTCTCTGTGTAACAGCCCTAGCTATCCTGGAACTAACTCTTGTAGATCAGGCTGACCTCAAATTCAAAGAGATCCTCCTGCTTCTGTCTCCCGAGAGCTGGGATTAAAGGTGTGAGCCTCCACCGCCAGGCGGGCAAGGCTGTTTTCATAAGCTGTCTACCAACATTACACAAAAGGAAGATAAAGAATCATTGGGTTAAAATACTGTCCTGCATTCCCCACTTTGCAGTCTGATATGCTCTGGGAGTTAAAATGCATTTTACTCCACAGAAAAATTCAAGAGGATGGAGTAATGCTAAGGGGTTGCTGGCGTCCATCCAGCTGCCTGGAATGGACAGAACTGACTTCCCGCTAATCAGTGTTTGAGTTGCACATATGGTTCTGAGACTGAGCGAGGAGCAAGGACAAGTTCATCACTTATTAGTCTGCTACAGCTCTCTTTAGTCTGACTTTATTAGTTACAGAAAGAGAATATTTCTTTTTTATCTGCAGTAGAATATTTTATATAATAAAAAATTAAAATGAGTGTTTTTACTATGTGTCTGTATGTGCACCAGAAGGTGTCAGACTCCCTGGAATGGATGACTGTGAGCCACCATGTGGGTGCTGGGAACAGAATCAGGTCCTCTGGAAGAGCAACAAACGCTCTTAACTGCTGAACCGTCTTTCTACTCCATAATCCATATTATTGGGTTTTGGTTTATATTTTTCATTTCATTTCATTTTTTTGAGACAGGGCCTCACTGTGTAGTCCTGGCTTTCCTGGAACTCACCAGGTAGATTAGGCTGGCCTCGAACTCACAGAGATCCACCTATGTCTGTTTCCCAGATGCTGGGACTAAAGGCATGTGGCGTTACACTCAGATTCCATAATTATTATTTTGAGACAAGGACTCTCTATGTAGTCCTGTCTGGTCTCAAATTCATTGCCTGGCCTCAAGCTTGTGATCCCTCTGCCTCAACCTTCAGTTTCATTTAAACTTGTCTGAGCTTTGCTCTTCGGGTGGTACTGCTTGATGGTAACGTACACCTTTGTCACGCTTCCTTGAGAACGTACACCCTTGTCACGCTTCCTTGAGGACCTTATCTTTAGGAGTCTCCCACTTCCAGGTCCTCCAGAAGAATCTGATAGGCAAGTGAGAGCATCTAACAAAAGTCAACACGTGCAAAAGCCTGGTAGAGTGTGGTGTTCTCGACCTCATTGCCCAGACACATGAGGGACGCCCTGCTGTAGCACCCTGGGGCTGTGGAAAGCCCAGGCTTCCTTTCTCTTGCTTTTTGAGCTGCCTTATTCTCCCATGTGGCTACAATTACAGGTGTGCCCTGTCAGACTCAGCTAAGATGATTAAAAGGAAAGCTCACTAGCTGTTGCTACTGCCAAGCAAAGAATGTATAAGTTCAAATTTGTGTGAACAATGTTGATAGAAGGCTGCATTGTAATTAATTCTAATGTTTTAGGAAAGCAAGAGCTTACCACTGTGGCTTGAACATGCCTGTCTCCCCTGAACCTCACTGTGGTGGTGTTGGGAAGTGGGGCCTTAAGAGCTCATTTGAGATTTTAAATCTTACAGAGCTGGGCTGTTTTATGGGACAAATTAAATTACTGGAAAAAAAAAGTTATGAACTGAGGCTGGTAAGGCACGCGTGACAGCCACGCCGTTAGTCCCAGCAGAAGCTGGCAGATCTCTAAGCCAGTGTGGTCTCTACAGGGAATTCCAGGACAGTCATGACTATGTGAGAGACCCTGTCTTGAAAAACAAGCAAGCAACCCAGGCGGTGGTGCTGCACGTCTTTAATCCCAGCACTCGGGAGACAGAGGCAGGCGGATCTCTGTGAGTTCGAGGCCAGCCTGGTCTACAAGAGCTAGTTCTAGGACAGGCTCCAAAGCTACAGAGAAACCCTGTTTCCAAAAAACAAACAAACAAAAAAAAAACAAAAGAAAAATTAAGCAAACAGACAAAAGAGACTGCTCCTTGAGTCTGATTCTTCTGCACACACCTGCCTGCTGTCTGATTCTTCTCCACACACCTGCCCGCTGTCTGATTCTGCACACACCTGCCCGCTCTCTGATTCTGCACACACTTACCCATTCTCTTATTCTTCCGGCATGCTGCAATGCAGCCCAAGGCCCTCACTTTGTGGGACCCGTCTTAGACTCCAATCTCCAGAAACATGAGCCAAGCAAATATCTTTTATTTATAAATTACTTAGACGTTAACTGGGCATGGTGGCATGCCCCTTTAATGCCAGCACCCAGGGGGCAGAGGTAGGAGAATCTCTGTGTGTTCTTGAGCAGCCTGGCCTACAGGGTGAGTTTCGGGACAGCACAGAGAAAGCTTGTCTTGAAAAACAAAACAAAACAAAAATTCCCTAGACACAGGCATTCTGTTACAGAAACAAAATGGACAAATTATTCACGCACACCAGTTTTGAGTGATCATGGTTAATGCTGCCTGTGAGGCATATCCCCCTAGAACTGTGACACTGTATTAACAATACATACCCAGTATCACTGTTTCAGCTGACATACTTCCATGGAGCTACCAAATGATGGCAGCTTGTTGAAATTAAATTCTTGATATCCAGATTTTAGCTCTGGGTGGGCCATCTCTAGCCCTGTCCTATCTTGGGAGAGATCCTCCAGAGTGGCCAGGTGGTTTGATTCCGAGGATACAGACTACCTTAGATGTTCATCTGGGCAGAACGGGGTCTGGGTGCAACACCACCACTCATCCAAATCACACAATGTATGTATTTATATATAGAAGTATATATAAATTAAGCTGAGTGTGCTTATTATAGGTACATACCTATAATTTTAGCATTTGGGAGGCAGAGGCAGGAACAAGTCTATGAGACCAGCTGGGTCTGTATAACAAGTTTTAGGCTAGCAGGGGCTATATGTTTGAGAACCTGTCTCAAACAAAACAAGACAAAACACACATACAAAACAAACAAACAATAAAATTAACTGTTGGCGTGTGTATGTATAAATGAGGTGAAGTACCTGAATTATTTCTTTATTCTTAGGTAGAACCAGGCTGGTCAATGGTGGGTCCAGGGAGGTGCCTTTGTCTCTTCCACTTAACTCTGTCTAAAATAAATGAATACATCCTTGCTAAGTTTTCCTTGTGAACATTGTGGACATGTTGAATACACATTAGTCCTGTGGTTTCCGCTCGTGTTTGTTAAATCATGAGGATAATGCGACACAAAAGGAAGGCTGAGCAGCATGAGTAACAACTCAGGAGAGAACTAATGTTCATTCAGCGCACACTACATGCCAGGTGCCTTTTAGTTTCCCATCTTGAGCTAAAGCACCATAGGCTGCAGGTTTCTGCACTTCAGTGTTGCAGATCGGAAAGCGAGTTCCTGGCCTACTGAGTAACTCTCACAGTACAGAGTTCTCAGAAATGCTTAGGAACACAAGTGTTTTGGGATTCGGATTTTTATTTTCTGATTTTGGAATATATGCCTATACATATATATATGTGCATGTGTGTATATCTATAGAAAAGACATCTTAGAGATGGTAACCCAGTGTAAGCATAACATTTATTATTGTTTCATCTGTGCACTTACACAATAACCTGAAGGTATTTTGTATATGTGTTATGTGCACAGTGCATGTGGTGGCCAGGGTGACATCAGGTGTGGAGTTCAGTCTAATCAGCCCCGGGGTCTTCCTGTCTGCCTCTGCGATAACAGTAGACGGCCATGCCTGGCTGTATAACAGTAGACGGCCATGCCTGGCTGTATAACAGTAGACAGCCATGCCTGGCTGTGTGTGGTCCTCACGCTTCCACACAAGAGCTCATCTCCCCAGCCCCTTTTAAATGATCTACTATTACTGTGCGTGTGTGTGTGTGTGTGTGTGTGTGTGTGTGTGTGTGTGTAAGAGGGCAAGTGTATACACGATACATGGATGGAGGCCATACGACAACCCTTGGGAGCTCTCTTTTCTTCTACTGTGGATTCTGGAAATCAAATTTAGGTTGCAAGTTTGAGACACACACACCTAATCCACCAAGGGCTCTCACTGACCTTTATATAATGCTTGCTAATATGTTTTGTATGAAACAAGTTTCATGGTCTAGGATTCTCCAATTATGGAGTCCTGGAGGGGCTGGATTGGGCTGGAATTTGAACAGATTTCAAAGCTTGTGCTCTTGACAATTACATTAGACATTAAATAGTCCTCAATGTTGATTTGAAATGGTCGTGCCTGTAGGGGTTTCCCCAGGATAGTACAGGTGGAACTCACTGTACTTAATGTATTATTGTTAACCACAGATTCGCATTCTATACAAGGAAGGTCATTTTCTATCAGTTCTACTAAGAACCAGAATCATATCAACCCCACCCATCTCTCTCTCTCTCTCTCTCTCTCTCTCTCTCCTCTCTCTCTCCCTCTGTGTGTGTGTGGGGGGCGGGGGCTGACCCTAAGACTTTGGGCATGCCAGACACGCAGCCTACAACTGAGCTGATAGTCTAAGTCTTTTCCCCAACATTTTAAAAGCTATTTACTTATGGGTTTATTGTTATTGTTGTTATTTTGGATGTTCGAGATGAGGTCTCTCTGTGTAGCCCTGGCTGGCCTGGAGCTTGCTCTGCAGACTAGGCTGAAAAAAATCTTTATTTTGGGATATATATATATATATATATATATATATATATATATATGTGTGTACACATATCTGTATATTACTGAGCTAGTAACCATATATTGTGTAGCTCAGTTGTAATATATATCTGTACAAGTGTACGCCATGTATATCTAGTGCCTGAGGAGGCCAGACGAGAGCATTAGATCCTCTGGTGCTATAGATGGTTATGAGATGCCTGATGTGAGTCCACATCCTCTGTAAGAACAGCAAGTGCTAGGAACTGCTGAGCTATCTTTTCAGGACCTTTCCTCCATATTTTGAGAAGGGTCTTTCTAAGTTACCCAGACTTGCCTCGAACTTGTAGTCCTTCTGTCTTAATCTCTCCAGGAGCTGGTATTACAGGCCTATGTCACTATGCCTGGTTTAAAACCAATTTTTAAAGCAATGCTAAGAATCAAACTTAGGGCCTTGCACACACTAGGCAAGTTTCCTACCATCGAGTTATATACTGATTCTCTGAAATCTAATTATTTTCTCCATTTTGGTACTAGGTCTCATGTAGAACTCATTGGTCTCCTGCTTCTACTTCTCACATGCCGGGATTACAGGTGTGCGCCAACATATCCACTGAAAATCAAGGATTTCAGAGGGAAGACTCTAAAGTACTGAAAACTTCACACGTGCCTCTTCTTCATGTGTCTCTGCAATATGGTTCCTGCTGACTTGTCACAAAGTGCCCCTAGGTCCTAATGTCTCCAAGGAAAGACAGACTCTTGTTTACTGCTGCATTCTTGGTGTCCAGTAAAGGACCTGCCATCTAGCAGGCATAGGAGAAAGAAATCTGGTAAGTGTGGATGTGTGTATGAAACCTTGTATGGGCAAGAAAAACAGCCTCCTCTTATTATGCTTCTGATATAAGACCACAAATCATCAATATTTGATATAAGATTACAGTTTTTAATCCAGAGCAATGTTAGCATCATCTTCACCTCCAGGTAACACAATGGCTACTGCATCCTTCACCTAGAGGAACCGATGTGCTAATTGGAGAGATCAGAGAATCTGGGTGACAAAGAGCCAAGCAAAATCACCACCTTACCGAGCCTCGGCTTTCACTTCTCACTGAAGAACTAGAGTTCTCTGCATTTCTCAAAACAGTAGACTGCTTTTGCAGAGTAGACGCAAATCCTGCCCTTCCCTACAAGGACTGAGTGAAATTTTCAGCGGATCTGCTCCTCATCTCCCCAATTCACCCACCAGGGAAACACTCTTGAAAGCTTTTCTTGCCTTAGAAGGAGACTCTCGGCAGGGGGCAGTGGTGGGAATGCTAGCTACAAACAAGGTGGAGAGGTGTCCCCTCCTGACCCTCACCCAGCCACCCAGGCCCTCTACCTGAGCTCCATCCAGCTCCACCGCTTTCTTGTGGGAATTGGTTTTTGTTCTAACCTTACCCGCAATGCCTGAGCAGAGCACGGGGGAAGACCAGTGTGGTAAGGCTGAGATCTGCGCAGACACATATTCAGAGGACCTGAGGAAGGACTCTGACCTCGAAACAGAAAGCACCCCTTCTTCCTACAACCCCTTCTAGCTGGGAATAAACTCTAGCCCTACCTCTGCTTCATCTGTGAAATACAAATGACAGGCAGCAGAGATTGCTTACTGGGGTGTCCTCTGTCAACTTTAACTCCCGCCTCAAATAGTTCTGGTGCTGCTCGTTTCGTTGCTTCCTCGTCTGAAGTCTTTTCTTCTTTGGCTTCTTTAACACCATTTTCTGATTCAGCTGTTCCTGAAATTGCAGAGAAACTGGTCAGAGGGGGTTGCAGAGTTACTCACCCTCTAACAGCTGATATACAGTAGCCTGGCATGTGGTTCTTATTTATCGGTGTGGCAAATGGGTAAACCGTTCAACCACCTTCTTTCCAGAGGCTGTTCCCTATTTAATATGCTTGACTCCACGAATATTGACTGCTTCCAAAGGGATCAATAGCAAATGCACACAGCTGACAAAACAAAGCCAGGCCAGGTCCAGATGACTCTGATCACTGACACGTGGCTAGAATACTTAGCCTATTATTACCATAAAGAAGCTCCAGCAATTAAGCGAAAAGCACATAAGGGACATGGTACATACTCAGGGTAGGCAACCAGCTAGGACACCATTGCAATTTTATTTCTGACTTACTGGTGACTGGCTCACACTAGGTTCCTGAGTTGCAAGCCTGGGACTATAACTCCTGTAGGCTCTAGTACGGTTGGAACATTTTCCCAATTATCTAGTACTATGGTGTTTTTAGTTGGGTTTTTTTTTTGTCTTTTTTTAAGTTTCAATGTTTTGTGTGTACAAGAATCAGTGAGCTCTCACCTCATCTGCCATGCTCAGTAGGTGGGCAGGAAGACCATCCGAGAGGGAGCTGTCAGAACCACTTGTGCTAGGAACAATAAGAAAAAAGACACAGAAAGAACTGTTAGACAAGGAAGCAGAGGCTCTGAACTATCAGTGTGGCAAAACAAACCCTGGCCAGACGGGCAAAGGTGCCCTGGCAGAGGGGGAGCGGGGCTGGGCTATGCAGTGTGCAGTCCTAGAGACAGGGGTTCCCCTGAGGGCATCTCCATCTTCATTTCTTCTGAGCTGATATCTGGGAAATGTGCTGAATGTATAACTAGATAAATAATGAGACAAATGGTCAGCAGGCTAGACAACACCAAAGTCACTTCAAGGCTGTCAGCCAGGTATAGCACAACTGTGCCCTTGGGGCACTGAAGAAGGATTGCTGAGTTTGAATCCCACCTGGGCTACAGTGGACACTGTCTCTATAAAGAAAAACAGCTGCATGTGGTAACCTGTGTCTTTAAATCCCAGCACTCAGGAGGCAGAGGCACATGGGTTTCTCTGAAGATGAGGCCAGCCTGGTTTACATAGTGAATTCCAGTCAAGTTTACATTGTGAGAGCACTGGCTACTCTTTCAGAGGACCTGAGTTCAGTTCTCAGAACCCACAGGCAGCTCGGAACTCTCTACCACAACAATTCCAGGGAATACAATGCCCTCCTTTGACCCCCACAGTCCCTGCATGCCTGTGACACACATATATGCAGGCAGGCAAAATATCCATCCACATCAAAGAAAATCAAAATAAATAAATCTTCAGTTTTGTTTGTTGTTTGTTTGATGTTAGAGCCCGAGCCCAGAGGCTCATGAACGCCAAGACTGAGCTGCCTCTCTAGCCCTGGAACACTGGTTTGGTTTTTGTTTTTGTTTTTTGTTTTGTTTTGTTTCTTCAAGACAAGGTGTCTCTATAGCTTTGGAGCCTGTCGTGGAACTAGCTCTTGTAGACAAGGCTGGCCTCAAATTTAGAGTTTGCCTCTGCCTCCTGAGTGCTGGGATTAAAGGCGTGCGCCACCACTGCCCATTCTTCACTTTTTAACGACATCAATTCTTCATTCACAAGTTCTGCATGCATGTATAGACTAAAACTTTTCTCCACAAACTCTCTTCTGCCCTTTCTTGTGAGGACTAAGATGAACAGGGACTCAGTTAAGCATTTCTCATCATATCACATAAGTTTACCTCTTCCTGGGATATGGTGAACTAGAACTGAGAATTACACTGTATATAATAGAGGCTCCAGAAAGTGTTTTCAGGGCCAGTGGGATGGTTCAGTAGACAAAAGTTCTTCCCCATCCCCAATAATAATAATAAAGAGATTTAAAATAAAAAAGTATCTTGAACACAAAACTCAAATTTCACAGGGAAAAAAAGGCATTTCAAACCAGGCCTTCACTCATTTTGTGACCTCCCTTGGTGCACAGTGAGGAGTCACACCTAGCACAGTGAGGAGTCACACCTAGCACAGCAGAGCAGAAGAAAGCCTCATTTTTGTGATCTGATTTCCAAAGGTTTGCTCTTCTCAAAGGTTTCTCCATCTAGAAGGAGACTTTGAGGCTGCTGGATTTTGGAAATAACAGACTTCTTTAGCAAAAGGCGATAGACACAGCATGTCCTAGAAAATGCCAATCATGTGTGTACACACAGAGCAACGTCACTATTCCCAGCCTGCCTTTATGTGCGATTGTGAGAACGCAGAGGTAGAAACCCAAGGAGGCTTGTGACATCTGACTTTGTGGTATCGAAGCTGGAAACCATTCCTTCTAATTCTGGGCTAACGGCATCAGCGTTCCTGCTGATTCAGCTATAGATAGTGCAGCTCTGCCTGTCCTCACCGGTGCTTTTCCCGGGCTGCGTCAGTGAGCTGACATGCACAGGACATTCTTCTGGGCTGCGTCAGTGAGCTGACATGCACAGGAATTCTCCCGGGCTGCGTGCGTCAGTGAGCTGACATGCACAGGAATTCTCCCGGGCTGCGTGCGTCAGTGAGCTGACATGCACAGGAATTCTCCCGGGCTGCGTCATTGAACTGACATGCACAGGACATTTTGGATTTTAGACTGCAAACAGAGAGTGGCCAGTGCAGCAGACTGAGGGAGAGTGGGAGGGGCAATGAGTGGAGAGGGCACCCTGCTTGGTCTGATGCTGTGGTTCAAGTTCTCTGTAGAAACATTTGTCAGACTGGGCCAGAAGAATTGCTTAGTGGCCCAGAACTCAGAGAGCTGCTTAGAGTGGGTGGAAGAGCCACACCCTTCCAACTGTCTTCAAAGATGGAAGGCTACAAGCCCAGCCTTGGAACCTTTGAAGAATGACTAGGCAATCTGAGGCCCCTTGGGCAGAAAGCTGGAACCTGCACACCTACAAAAAAGAGAAAAGATGAAGTTGGAAGAGAAACATACTAGCGGGAATAAGGAAGAAACCTGAGGGGAGAGAATGGTGTTGGTATTTGAATAAAATACTTTCTATGCTCTACTAGAGACATTCAAAGATTAAGAGTACTGGCTGCTCTGGAAGACCCTTGTTCAGTTCCCAGCACCAATATGAAGGCCCCAACTATCTGTAAATACAAGTCTAGGGGATCTGATGCCCTCTTCTGATCTCTATGGATATCAGGCACACACGAGATACACATCTATACATGCAGGCAAAAATTTATACATATGAAATAAAATATATCTTTAAAAATTAAATAAAATATTAAAAGATTTAGTAAACAAAAATACACTCAGAATCCAGGCATCACTGTAGCTGTGGTTAGGATATCAGGTGAGTACAGATCTCTTGGACAAGGCAACTACTCTATGAAAAGAACCCAGAATCTCAGCATTACAAGAGCCCTATGGTGGAACGGAAAGACTGTTTCCCTTCCTCGTCTTCTCCATTGTTCTGGTCCCTGGCAGTTCTTCTGTGGATCACCTGTCTGATTTTAGGAAGCAGGGGTGGATCCAGCTGGAATCCGAGAAGCTTGAGAAATACTGCAAGGCCAATGGCTCACCACCAAGACATAGAACTGCTTTGACCACAACAGGATCTAACTATCCAAAAAGAAATGACCAGATGCTAAATTGAGCTTGGGAAGCTCCACCTTCCTCACCTCTGTTTGCTAGTGGCCTCTTTTCTAAGACTGAAAAACAATCCAGAATCCAGTCAGTTTGACATCTTCTAACACCACTAACATTTTCTTCTAAATTACCCTCACCTTTAATATATTTTATTACAATAGCATTTTGTTTTATGTTTTTGAGGCAGGGTGTAATGGTCTGAATGAGAATGGCCCTCATAGGCTCATATGTTCCCCAGTTAGTGGAACTGTTTGGGAAGGATTGGGAGCTATGGCTGTTTTGGAGCAGGTGTGTCACTGGGGGAGGGCTTGAGGTTTTGAAAGACTGGAGCAATATATTCATAGTGTCTCTCTATGCCTCCTACTTTCAGCTCAAGATATGAACACACAAGTCAAGTGTGGTGGCACATGCCTTTAATCCCAGCACTTGGGAGGCAGACGCAGGCGGATCTCTGTGAGTTCGAGACCAGCCTGGTCTATAAGAGCTAGTTCCAGGACAGGCTCCAAGACCACAGAGAAACCCTGTCTCGAAAAACAAACAAATAGCCGGGCGGTGGTGGCGCATGCCTTTAATCCCAGCACTCGGGAGGCAGAGGCAGGCGGATCTCTGTGAGTTCGAGGCCAGCCTGGTCTACAAGAGCTAGTTCCAGGACAGGCTCCAAAACCACAGAGAAACCCTGTCTCGAAAAACCAAAAACAAACAAACAAACAAACAAAAAAAAAAAGATGTGAGCTCTCAGCTGTTCCTGCCATGCACCTTCGCTCTGTCATCATGGACTCCATCCCTCTGAAACCATAAGCACAATTAAGAACTTCCTTTTCTGGGTGGTGCTGCTCACATGTGTTGTTGTAGTAATAGACATAATGTCTCTCCATGTAGCCCTGGCTCTCCTGGGACTTACTACAGAGATCTGCTTACATCTCCCTCCAGAATTCTGAAGGTGAAGGCATGTCTCAGGACACGGACATGTTTTAATCTAGCAGAGGTAGGCAGATCTCTGTGAGATGCAGGTCACCCAAGCAATACAGTAAAAACTTGTCTCAAAATAAAAAGATAGATGGGTAGATAGATAAACAAACAAATAAATAAGAGGACAGATGTGACGTAAATGTGATCCAGGCCTTCCTTAAATTCCCAATCCCCCTGCTTCTGTCTTCCAAATACTGGGATCAAGGATGTATTATCAAGCCCGGATTTCCTTAGAAATGAAATTTGTTACCTGGATTCGATGTCGGACAAAGGAAAGTCACTCCAGCTTCCTTCTAAGTCCATCTCTTGTCCAGAGTTATTGAACTTCTTGTGGATTTCCTGTTGTAAGAGCTCCTTAAGCTCTTGTAGACACTGAGTGTACTGCAGCAGAGGGAAACATTTTACATGCTAGTCATGAGTGGTTTTGAGGGTGTGCTGAAAGGTGTTTTATTGATAGGGCAAACTGTAACTCCTTCTATTAAAGACATAGTAATGAATACAAGACCTGGGCTATACAAATACACTTTTTAAAGCGGCGGATCAGCGAGCACTGCCTTAACCACTTCTGCAATTGTTTCACCTGTTTTGCTGAGTTACAAGGCAGCAGGAGGAGTTAGAATGGCATTGTTCTAACTTTGGCCTAAGGCAAGGATGGTTTGGATAAAGTTGTAGGTCAGGAGTAGAGTGCTTGGCTCACATGAGCGAGAAGGCCTTGTGCTCCGGCATCTCTGGGGGAAGGGAAGCACCAAACAGGCCTTTTAATTCTTGACTAACCATTGCATCTGAGTAGTGCTTATACGGGGACATGATAAATGTGTTAGGGACGATGGGTATACGCTCCTCCCAAGATGAGTGAGTTAATCAAAAATAGCCATCAGAAGAACAAGGCCAAAGAAACCTTCAGCTTTTGGACAGAGGCAAGCTTGAGAACACTTGCAGTGGAGGGGAAGGATAAAAAGATGAAACAGAAAAAGCAGCAACTGAGGCCTAGTCTTAGGCAGGCAGGCTCCAGAGGGGCATCTCCTAGTGCACAAGGCAGGATTAGTGAGCACGCTGTGTATGCCATTGTTCTGCAAGAGAAGACAAGGTGCTGCTATAACAAACCCGTCACTTATGGAGAGGGGACCAGAGGATAGTTTCTTCCTTCTAGGAGGATTGGGAAGTGTCACCGTTTGTTGACAACTTGCAGGATAGGGGTGCTATTTCCTCTGGTAATGAAAACATCAGATAAAAAGAATATTAAGAAGGGCTGGAGAGCGGGGCAATGGTGGCGCACGCCTTTAATCCCCAGCACTCAGGAGGCAGAGGCAGGTGGATTTTTGTGAGTTCGAGGCCAGCCTGGGTTACAAGAGCTAGTTCCAAGACAGGCTCTAAAGCTACAGAGAAACCCTGTCTCAAAAAAAAGGGGGGGCTGGAGAGATGGTTTAGTGGTTAGGAGCACTGGCTGCTCTTCTAGATAACCCGGGTTCAGTTCCCAACAACCACATGGCAGTTCACAACTGTCTGTAACTCCATTTCCAGGGGATCTGACACCCTCACACCAATGTACATAAAATAAAAATAAATTATAAAACATATTAAGAGGGCGACGAAGTTCCCCTGAGCTGATTCTGGACCCATGGAAATCCAGCAGAGGACTGATAGTACACTGTTTGAAACTCTGTCTTTACCTTGGTCTGGTCAGGATCACAGAAATCCAGAATAGTGTCACAGACATGATAACCTAGGGACTTCAGGTCCTCAATGGTAAAATGAGTGTCTCTTTTACTGCCTGAGGAAAAAAAAACGTAATTTTTCTGAGATTTTTAAAAACTGGGGATGGAGAGGTGGTCTAGCAGTTAATAGCATTTGCTGCTCTTGCAGGGGATCCAGGTTAGGGTCCCTACACCCACATAGTGGCTCGTAACCACCCATAGTACAGTTCCAGGGTGTCCAATGCTCTCTTCTGAATCAGCAGGCAGGCATGCATGTGGTGTACATACATACATGCAGACAGAAGACTCATGCACTTAAATAGAAAAATAAAAATTTTTAAATCTGTGTACATAGCCCTAAATTTTTTAGTTTATTTTTAAGATTTCTATATTTATGCTTATTTTGTGAATATTTGTTTTTTTCTGCTTGTATGTCTGCACCATGTGTGTGCTTGATGACTTCGGAAGTCAGAAGAAGGTGCCAGAAACCTAGGGTGGAACTAGAGGTACAGACGGTTGTGAGCATGTGCATTCTCTCCAAGAGAGTAGTATGTGCTCTTTACAGCTGAGGCATCTTTCCAGCTTCCTAAATCTTATGCGTTAAATGCAAATCTAATTTGTGAGTCAATTTTTAGAGAACTGCTCCTCATAGGGCTGGAGGGACAGGTCAGCATTAATAGAGCTTCAACAGCACCCACGCGTGGTTCCCAGCACCCTAGTGCTTCCACCGCACCCACGCGTGGTTCCCAGTACCCTAGTGCTTCCACGGCACCCATGCGTGGTTCCCAGCACCCTAGTGCTTCCACAGCACCCACGCGTGGTTCCCAGCACCCACACTGGAACACTTACACCTGTTGTAACTTCAGCTCCAGGGGATCCAACACCCTCTTCCAACCCCTGCAAGCAAGTGCACACACATGATACACACACACACACACTACACACAAAGAGAGAGAGAGAGAGAGAGACTTGGTATACACAGAAAGACACACATGGTACACACACACAATACACGTGAATAAAATAAAGCAGACTTAAAATACCACTTCTTGTTATAGGATAGTATGTTTCTGAACTATAGCTCTCCTAGTTTCAATCTGGTTCAGACAAATCTTTGACAATGAAAAAGTTTCCTATTGTAATGGATTATCAAGTTCTTTTTAAATTATTTTGGTTTTACTTTGTGGCAGGTACTACGCCTAAAGCAGTACTTATAATTCAGGTGCTATTACTGTAGCTTAGAGGGAATGTGAGCTTCAAGGAAGATAAACACAGGACCACAGAACTTAATAAATGTAACCGGAAGTCAAAGCTGAGTTCCTGAGTGCAGGTTCTGAGGAGAGTGTGATTTGGCACCCAGTGATGCGCGGATTACACGTCCATACTCTGGTACCTGAGGCTAGCAAGAAAATCCTGCACATCCGTTATTTCTCTGACTTTCCCAAGCCTTTTATCTCCCAGATGCTGTGCCTGGCTTCCCGTGCCAGGCTCGCCTCTTACCTAGGGTGGACCCGCCAAAGGTCGACTCCATTGTATAGCTGTTTGTGATGCCCATCCGCCACATCACAACTCTTCCTGTTCCTTCTTTGCATTTTTGGACCTTAAAGTTACAACTGTCAAAAGAGAACTAAAAAACAAACAAATGAATTTTCTGTTGATTATAAACTGACAAATACAAGATGTCTGAGAGTCGTTAATACAGAAAAGATGTCTAAGAGTTGCTAATACGGAAAAGATGTCTAAGAGTCGTTAATACGGAAAAGATGTCTAAGAGTCGCTAATACGGAAAAGATGTCTAAGAGTCGCTAATATGGAAACGGAATGAAATGCTGAGAGTCGTTAATATGGAAAAGGAATGTTTATTTGAGAGACAACCTGGAATTTGCTCTGTAGACCAGGCTGGCCCCAAACTCACAGAGATCTGCCTGCCTCTACTGCTAACTTTGAGAAATGTCAAAAGGTAGTGGTGGGTGAGGAGCTGTGTGGTCCCCTCAGCTGGGAATATGGGTTATTAACTAAAGAAACCTGATAGCATTTATTGTGTACTGTGATTTTTAAAAGAAAAACATACAGATAATTCCATTTCCAGCCTGACTTGCTCCTGCTCCCAGAGCATCTTGCTACACCAGGATCTCTGGAAGTCTGGGACACGGGCACACTTTGACATTTCAGGCAGTAGGCAGCTTTTCTAAGCCTTTCTTCCCTTTCTTGACATGTAACCCAGTAGCTTTCCAGCTCTCTTGCATCCAGTAAATGCAGAGGATACACACATGTGATTGATCCGTACAGGCTTCATGACTTATTTTCTTTCACAAAATATGAACTGTCAGGTCTAAGTTTTCCTCCAAATATGATTTTTGGTTTGTATATTTCTTACCCCCATAATCTCTATCTAGAGTTCTCCCCCTCCATGGTGTTAGTCTTTCTACTAGGAGTTCAAAGCCCTCCTTTGCCTTCTATGCCCAGCTCAGCCCTGCATTATGCACGGTCTAGAACAGATCTTGACCTCATCCTATCCTGCTAACAAGGTTTACAAGAAGATATCGTGCTGTCTAGCTTCTTGGAATCCAGGGTTCTGGAGAGCTGCCTTAGTGCACGCCTGTCTCAAGGACTGAAGGGGCGCGAGCTAGCAGGGTTCTATACAAGGTTTACAAGAAGATATCGTGCTGTCTAGCTTCTTGGAATCCAGGGTTCTGGAGAGCTGCCTTAGTGCACGCCTGTCTCAAGGACTGAAGGGGCGCGAGCTAGCAGGGTTCTAAGCTCTGTGCCAGTGTTCACCAGTGTGGTTCTGCACTGAGTTGCTTTAGATACTGAGTATCGGCGTGAATAAACGCAGGCAAGTATTAAAGAATATATACAAATTTAATGATTAAATAAAACTTACAGAACCGAGGTTCCCGCGTAGCACAGGAGGTAGGAAAGAAAGGGAGGAGCCGCTTCCCACACGCCCATTTATTGGTACGCATTCGCCCGAGGCAAACCCACCCCCTAAAGTGGCTGGCTTAACCCTACAACTGAGTTACAATTATGATTTCATCTGAAGACAAGAAAGGGAGGGAAAAAAATCTTCTTTTTGTAATAGATAAGAATAGCATGTGTCTTGACCTTCAACTGGACTTTACTGGAGACCATGATGGGTACACCCACTGAAACAATCTACCTGAGCTAATGGCAACTCACCAACTCCAGCCAGACTGGGAAGGAAGCATAGGACCAAACTAGTCCTTCTGAATGTGGTTGACAGTTGCATGGCTGGGGCAGACTGAGGGGCCACTGGCAGTGGCACCAGGATTTCTCCCTACTGCATGTACTGGCTTTTTTGGAACCTGTTCTCTTTGGATGGATACCTTGCTCAGCCTAGATATAGTAGGGAGGGCCTTGGACCTTCCACAAGGCAATGTGCCTTACCCTCTCTGAGGATTGGATGGGGGTGGGGTGGGAGGGTGTGTGGAGGGAATGGGAGGAGGGGAGGGAGTGGGAACTTCTTTTGGTATGTATAATTTTAAAAAAAGATAATTTGTTTTCTCTTATAAAAAAAAGAAAGAATGTGTAAAACATTTCTCACACAGGTTTTGATTTTTGGCATGTGGGTTCATGTACCCTAGGCTGGCTTCAAACTCGCTGTATAGCCAAGGATGACCTTGAAGTTTGGATTCTTCTGTCTCCACCTCCTAAGTGCTAGGTTCACAGGTGTGTACCATCTCGTCCAGCTTACGTAGTGCTCATACAAGCTGGGCAAGCACTCTCTCGCCTGAACCACATTTCCAGCCTTGTCACATACAACCCAATGGGATAGGATTTGAACTATCATTTTTCTAAATCCAATCTAATCTCTAATGGCAGTTATATTTGTGAATATACTTATAACGGGAAAAAGCAACTTTTAATATTTGCCCGGAGAGATGGCTCAGAGGTTGAGAGCACTGCCAGCTCTTCCGGAGGTCCTGGGTTTGGTTTCTGGTGGCCACATGGTGGTGTGGCTCACAACCGTCTATGTGAGATCTTCTGGCCTGTAGGGATGCATGCAGGAAGAATATTGTATATATAATTAAGAAATAATTCTTTAAAAAAAATAAAGTGTTTCCACTACCTTTGCAGTTTTTAGGGCAAACTAGCTTCATGATGTCTCCTGTCTTGGCCCCCAAACGGCTAGTATTATGGATATGTATGTGTTAGCAGCCCTGATATTTATGACCGTGTGTAGAAACTTGTATCACATTAACATCTGTGCGTGGAGAGTGTACATGTGAATCAGTGTGTGTGTGTGTGTGTGCACGCACACATGTAGAGGCCAGAGGTCAACCTTGGGTGTCTTTCTTCAATAGCCATTCACTTTTGTTTTGAGACAGGATCTTCCAGGAGCCTGGGACTGCTGAAGGAGCTGGACAGCTGTCTGGCCTCAGCGATCCACCTGGTTCCTCAAGTGCTGGCATTACAAATGATCATCACCATGCCCGGTTTTTTTTACGTGGGTTCTGGAATCAGACTCAGGTTCTCCATTGTTGCATAACAAGCATTTTGCTAGCTGAGCCATCTCCCCAGTCACACATTAACACTGCTCATCCTTTAAATCCCCCACTGCTAAGCACAGTTAAAGGTGACTTTAACCCAGTAGGAGTTTCAACTTTTGTCCAGGTGAAATACCCTGAACAATTTTTTAAAAATTATTGTTGGGTGGTGGTGGTGCATACCTTTAGTCTTAGCACTCTGGAGGCAGAGGCAGGAGGATCTATGAGTTCGAGACCAGACTGGTCTACAGAATGAGTTCCAAAGATGACCAGAGGAAACCCTGTCTCAAAAAACCAAATAATAAATAAATAAATAAATCTTGAGATATTTTTTAGCTCAGTGGTGGAGCATGAGTTAATCACGCTTACGTGTGTGTGCGCACGCATGCATGTACCCACCCACCATTAATTAATTAATTAATTTTTACATAGCAGTTCCTGTTCCCTCTCCCTCCTCTCCTCCTGCTTCCCCCACCTTCCTCCCACCCTACTCCCCATCCACTCCTTAGAGAGGGTAAGGCCTCCCCTGGGAAGTCAGCTAAATCTGTCCCATCACCTCCTTAAGGCAGGACCAAGGCCCTCTCCCCCACCCACACTGTGCCTAGGCTAAGCAAGTTATCTCTCCACAGACAATGGGCTCCACAAAGTCGGTTCATGCATTAGGGTTAGATCCTGGCCACACAGACTGCACAAGTCTGTGCACACAGTGGCCACACAGACTGACCAAGCTACACCATTGTCACCTGCATTCAGGGGGCCTAGTTCAGTCCTGTGCAGGTTCCCCAGTTGTCAGTGCAGAGGCAGTGAGCTCCCACTAAACCATTCACCTGATTCTGTGGGTTTCCCGTCATGGTCTTGACCCCCTTGTTCATATTATCACTCCTCCCTCTCTTTCATTGCACTTCAGGAGCTCAGCCCAGTGACTGAAAAGGCTTAGTGGCTTCTTTAAGGAAGGGCTCTGGCTCTTTCAGGAGGCTGAACTCTTAAATAGGGGCTGTGAGCAGCATGTTACAAATTGCTTCATGGTGACATAGACCCACTCTGTGACCCTGGAGCTGGGGCGGGGTGCATGGCTGTCAGAGGCAGTAAACATGGTTTCTCCATGTTGAACTGGGCAGAGCCAACAGGCAAAACCACAGAGTTAGTCTTAGCCATGCCCACTTACCATTAAAAAAAAGGTGTTCCTGGTCACAAAATGATTACAGATATACAATAAAGACAGATTCAGACAAAAATAAACCTCTGAACTGGTAACAGTATGTTTAAAAAATGTACATAGGCCTGGGAGAAAGAGATAAAGAATATGGACGGTTATAAAAATAATAAATGGTAAATAATAATAATAATAAATGGTTTTAAAAAAATAAAACAGAGTCTTTAAAGAGACAGCATCCAGACAGCCACAGATTAAAGGAGTAAAGAAAAATAAGCCATATAAAGATGAAAAATACACAGAGTCTGGATTATGCATATTACTAGGTTTGCTTTAAATTTTTTGACTATGAATGAGCTAAGTACAGAGAGACATTGTACAGGCTGATAAGCTAAGTCAACATATATATTTTAAAGGTATATTAACTTCAAAATTTGGGTCTAAGGATATCTTGCTTTGGAAAAGAGGTTCTGCTTTTGTTTCCACAGAGGATGAGATCCTGTGGATTCCTTCCAGACTAATTTAATGTGTTTTGATGGACCAAGATCATAAACCCCCCAAATACTTTGCCCAACAAAAAGCAAAAAGCAGTTTGGAGAAAACTATGCCCAAATTTCCAAATATTATTTATGAATGCTTATTTACATTTAAAGGGGAATATTATATAGAGATGGATACTTTGTATTTGTGTGGATCTTGGCCTACTGATACAAATTTAAGGCTGATTTTGTTATACTATGTATATGTATTTCTGTTCTTGTTTAAGGTATTGTGTTTGTGCAGCTTATTTAAAAATGTAATATATAATTAAGAAACAGGTTAGTAGATAGTCATCTACTGTCAAACTTGTAGTCATGTTAGTTAGGTTTTCTAGATTTACAGATAGACATTTTAGATGGGTAGATATTCTTCAAACCTTTCAAAGACTAACAGAATATGGCACTTAAACTGTTTTAAGAACTTAGA